TTGAAAGCACTAATGCTAAATCTATTCAATTTTCATGACGGAAATTGTTTTTTGTTCAGTAATCAAAAGTTTGAGGTATTTTATCACTTTTAACATAGTCAAAGAACAGCAAAGGTTTCGAAATATACCATGTAATGCGGAATTGAATGGGCTACATTTTAGTATGAATATTGGGAAACCTTTTCTGTTCTTCGACTATGTGAAAAGTGATAAAATACAATTTCAATATGATAGATTTGTAGCTCTTTCCAAGAGCTATCAAAATCACTATTTCAGTGGTATTTATGATGAAAAAAAAAGCGAAAAACAAAAAGTGTCATAAATTTTCCATTCCCACTTTATATCAGCATTTCTATTATTTTTTACATGTTTGTTTGTTTTTTTTTTCGTTCTCTCTTCTTACGTTTTATTTTCGAATGTATGTGGCCCCACATTTTCGTTGGTGAAAAGGCATGTTAAAGGTATTTCGTTCTTATGAATATCTATTTTTATTCTGTTCACATTCTTTGACTATTCTTTCGGGATCTCAAAAAGAAAACGAACATAGAAAAGGAATAAAAGAAATCTTCTAATACTCAGGTTGAACAAGCACGATCGTAAACAACTGTATGTGACGTTCTCAGTTGAATGTATGGTATATTAATATCTACTCTCATTAGTTGATTGAAATGACTGTATATACATGATATTCGACCTTCTCTTGTCATTTCTTCTTATTACATATCTTATTCTTTTTTTCTATTGATACTCTATATCTTGAACCATCTCACTATCCTTGATTCTTTTTATTCTTCTTTCCTTCCTTCTCCTTGTTATCTTTCTTCTAGTTGTGTATATATAAAAGTGTGCTTTCGATGTAGACGATACGATTAATGATATGAAGAAGGTAAACAGAGCGTGACTCTATCCACGCAAGCGAGTCTTCTATTTTAAACCGTCACACCATATACGGAGAAATATGACGATTTACATACTCCAGTATTACGATCGTGTATCTCTATATCATGCACGAAAATATATGAAAAAAAAACGATCGTTTACAGCCGTATGCGAAGTCCGTATTCGTCGATCTGGGTGGTTTCTATTAGTTTCTCGATAGAGTCACCATAGTCTTATTCTTTATGTTATATTTTGTAAGACCAATATTCCTTTCCTTGTTTTTCTCTTCTGTCTCTTACTTCTTTGCATCGTCATATATGCTTAAATCAACCCAAGTCGAGATGAATGAAGGAAAAACGAGTTCGGAAAAGGCGAACGAAAACCAACACGCCTTCCGAACGATTCGAACGCATTTTTGCTCCATTCATCTCTATCTGGGAACGAACACCTACATTCTTCTGTTTATGAAGTATCCCGAACAATGCTCGATAACGTCATCGAGAAGCTAAAACGTACAAATGGTGTATAATATATATATATATGTACATTCAACATTTATTTCACATAATTCAAATGAAATAGAATAAAAACAAAACAACGGAGTCGCGTAGTACTGTTTGTTTTTCTTTTTTATTGATTTAGATTGAACATTCCATTGATGGAAGTGTTTGAATCATTCTATCGAAATCCAATTCTACGTGAATATTTCAATCCAAATCAATTTCATATAACATCATGGGTACGTGATCCTGTTGGTATACATCATCCATTTGTTTTTGATTTTGAAAAAAAATTTTTGGACAAAACTTATGCTGATAATATTTATACTTGGTGGCATAAATGGTGGTGGTTAAGTATTGTTTATTCAATAATATATGTTGGATTAATTTATTATGGTCGATCATTAATGGAAAAACGTGAACGTTATGAATTACGATTACCATTAATTTTATGGAATGTTTCATTGGCTTTATTTAGTATATTTGGTATGATACGTTGTGTACCTGAAATGATTTATGCATTATATAAAGAAGGTTTACAATATACTATTTGTGATAAAAGAAGTATTTATGGTATCACTGGATTTTGGTATGCAAATAAAATCAAAATTTTAATAATATTTATTTTTTTCTTTTTATTTGATTAGGATAACAATATTTTGTATATCAAAAGTTCCTGAACTTATTGATACATTATTTATTGTATTACGAAAACAAAAATTAACATTTCTTCATTGGTTTCATCATGCTACTGTTTTAATTTATGCATGGTATAGGTAAGAATGAATATTTCGTTTTTTTTTTGAAACAAAATATTAAAATTATTCTCTAATAGTTATAAAGATTGGACACCTAGTGGAAAATGGTTTGTATTTATGAATTATAGTGTTCATGGTAAATATTAAATTATTTTCTTTTT